GCCATATCATCTTGCATGGTGCAATCTGTTCCAGATGATTTGGAGCGGTCACGAAAGTATGAAGGATTGCTCTTTGAAGACCACCAATAATATATGCGCAGCTTCTAAATCCTTAAAAAACTGAGCAACCCATGATTTTTGGACATCATTAAAATCAACTGCTAAGACCGAACAACGTGAAGACTTGAAAAAATTTATGCAACAAGTTTTAAAATAACGTTTATATTTGATAATATGTGTGCACTTTGCACCAAAGTAGACTAAAACTAATTTCTCAGAGTTTTAGACGTAGGATTACGTCTTTCAGCAAAATATAGGGGTGCAATTTCAAAAAACCAAAATCGACCGCGTTACGAAAAGTGGTCAGGCTTTGAACACTTATAACTCTGTCAATAGCGGATGGATTTTAATTCTCAACAATTCAATCGATTTCAAATTTTTCTACGAATCTGCTAAAATGAACACTTTATCAATTTTCAATAAGTCACTTTTGAAAATTACACAAATGTCCACCTGTTGCAATTGTGATCAAAATTATCACCGATTGCCTACAAAAAGCGCTTTTCCTAATACAGATTTCAAAATCTAATTCCATCCGGTCTCACCGAACGGTGCTCATTTAATCACCGTGTGTGGTGGTGTCCGGTCAGTTGGTCGTCATCAGCAGCAGCAGCAAACAAAAACATAACAATTCTCACAATGACCGAATACTACATGATCTTGTAAATTCAACAGAAACACTTAGAATTAAGGTAAAGTTTTCTCCAGGACGCTAAAAAAAGAAGAAGAAAAAAACAAAACAATCATGAAGATATGATCGTGAATATCTCACGATTGGAAAATTTTAGCAGGAAATTCCTAATATCAATTTTCGCTTTTCTTCTCATCTATTGAATAAACCAAAAATTGCATGCGTTTTGTGCACGAAAATGCGTAATCTTGTCATCAGGAAACATACTGCTCATTTGATAATAACTTTGCACACAGTTGACGAAACATAGTTCTTTTTGAAGCAGTAGATAGAATACAGTTTCAGCTTATTATATATACGAAAACAAATATGTAGATTTTAATTTTAGTAATAAACTGTATTTGTTTTTGCTTTGTATAAATTAAGGTAATATGCATAAATGACGTAGCATTTGGGGGGGGGAGGTGGTGGTTTCAGAATTTGTGACCGGCCATGTATTGGATATTGCAAAATACGCTACAAGGGGGAGGAGGGGTTTAAAATTTATCAAAAATACGCAACGTCATTTATGGATGCGCCCTAAGTGAGAAATGCTCGCTGCACATCTCGGACTTCAAGTGAAAAAAATCATTGGTGTTACTTCAAATGTTAAGATTTACCTACTCTTTGCATATCTATGATCCTAATCTATCAATTACATTGAATAGAAACAAATTTCAACAACTGAGTGAAAAGTTTTTAACAAATGAGCAATTGGTGTGTACAACTGTGCATTTCAAGCATAGTTTCCGTAACACAGTCGCCGTATATTGATACCGAGCTCGTAATGCTACGTCAAATCTACGGTCGTGTCTTGGATACAGCCTCTTACATTATTTCGTTCAGTCCAATAAATATTAATATTTTCCATTTCAATGTAAGAATGAGTAAATGAAATTTTGAGGTATTATTTTTAGAACCTGAGTCTACTTTAGTGCAAAATGCGCAATAAATAATCTTATTACATTTACAGGAATAAGGCATAACATAAGACAGCTGTGGTCAGCTGATTATTTTGTTTACCGAGAAGAAGTTGAACTGACAGATCTTTGCCATGGAAAATAGTATTGTTTATATTTACATCTTGCATTGGCAACACCTGGCTACTCACACACTCACAGCTTTCATGTCAACTGCAAAACGTCGCAGTATGCATTGGACATCTGAAGTAGACCCTTTAAATGAAGCTTCAAATTAAATTCAGCTGTTTTCTAGGGGCAAGCCAGTTGTAATCAAAGTTAATATTTTTGCTCCGAGTAAATTTGAGTAACTCATAATTACTCAACAATGATCAAAGTAGTCTGGCCTTATATACACTCAGGTCTTTTTTTACACGGGGGATACGTACCGTGTAAAAAAAACGTGTAAAAAAAACCTACGAGATTTTGATTTTTCGCATGTAAATGTTTTTAAAAAATCGGATTTTGATTCCATTTGTAATTAAAGCATGATATGGTCCATATAGACATATTTAAAAAATTTCTGTATTTACACCAAAATTGTGATTTTTTTTTTAAGTATGTCATTCGATTACCTATAGCTTGAAACGGATAATGTGATTGGAATCAAGTCGATAGGTTATATCGTTGTTGAGAAATCGTGGAAAATCGTGTAAAAAAACCGCGTAAAAAAACCGTGTAAAAAAAGACTTCAGTGTACATCAAAAAATACAAATCACAGTGTGAATAAACATTTTGTGTCATAGGAGAAGAAGAATTTGAATTATTTTATTGATTTCTTGATACAGATCGTTATTTAATCGATTGAATTCATTCACAGCATGAAATCAAAGCGAAATCTAAGAACTTTGCTTTGAAGGAAAATAAGGTAAACATGCCATATCCGAAGATGGCCTAACATGAAAAATGTATCCGTATAATCCAGCAAGACGTGCTTTATGAGGATTTCATGTGCTAGGCAAATCAAAGGTTCTGCATGTCTACAATTGCAAATTGCAGAATTAATAAGTTGAGAATTCAAGATGGATGAGCGCTTTATTCGGTTTTATGGAAACATACAATTTTAAATATGGCTATACGATGACAATGTATTGCTTTTCTATTAATCTCGGGTCGAACTTAGTGGCAAATAGAAATGCCTATAGATATTTTTTCAGAAAATCATGACAACCAGCATTATTTTTCTAGACTTCTCTGAATGCCCAAGTATTATTGCAGAACTATGAGGTTACTGCCTCAAAGTTCTGCATTAATTCTTGGGTATTCAGACAAAAGTCAGAGAATACTATTACAAAGTAATAATCGTAACTTTGATGCCTTTCGAAGATTCAAACTGTGGTTAATTTAACCAAATTTACTTCGACAAATTTATCATATTTTTGGTTTTGGGGTTTTGGGTCAAAATGAGAGTTCGCACCTAATCGAAAATACTGAGTATGGCTTTGGACATGACAACAAACTAGCACACTTGATTTTGTTTGCGACGGATTTCCATTTTTTTCCAAAGATTTGCACGGCAGAGCATTAAGAAAACAGAGTTAACTGAGATCGCATCAAAAGTGACGGTTGGATGGTGAGTTTCGAATATTGCTTGCCATGCAACTTGGTTGGACTGTGGCATAACATTACCAAAATGGTGAAAACAAATGTATAGTGTTCCTTTAAGTTTCTTTATAGTTTACAAAGTCAGTTTTTCTACAAAAAAAGGGGTTTCTAATTCGAAAATGTTTGAGAAAACAAAATATTCCGTTGATTTAATCTACGGATCCGAAAATCCGCAAAACCGTAGGAATTAATCAGTTTCGTAACCCACGAAATATTCCACAGGAATAATATCTCTGCACAAACATCGAACATGTCTAAACCAAACTGGTTATTTGTGCATTTATTTTATGTTATAAGCCTCAGACATAAATTTCCTTCACTTCGCAAAAATGCTGACCTTGTAATTATTTAACAGCCAAGAAAATTTTTAATTAGTGCAATTCAAGTCTAATCTCAGCTGAACAACAGAATGTCAACTGAGGAGTTGAAGCGTGACTATCGATAACAGCTTCTATCAAATTAAAAAAACAGTCGTTTTTCAATACGTCAATTTTTATTTCCGACTTACTTTAAAAAAAACGACTTTGGCATGTTGTTGATTCCCAGCTCCAAACGCCTTTCAACGACGACTCGCATTCATGATCACTTTTAGTCTTTGTTTCGCTTTGCTACAGATAATGGAGCTATAGCAGCACCGGTGCAGCAGCTCGATGCGACCAATTCACGCTAGCGAACTCCAAGCCGGTTGAGAAAACCGGCCTTGAACTTGAACTTGAAGCCCCTTCTCATCGTGAACGCGGACGAATGGAAAGAGAAGTAAATAATAGCATAGGCGAATAGTGCATTGCATAACATGCAATAACAACATAATGCTCATGTTGAACGACTCACAACCAGCCACAGCCGCAAACGTCTGAGGAGGGTGTGAAATTCCGTTGGAAAGAAGGTAACTGCAGGGTTTCGGGTACCTCGAGAAACACCTGGTGTACATTTTAGGCGCCACATCATCTCCGCTTGATCGCTTGTTATGTTGATAGTCTGGTTTTTTTTTAAATATATGAATGAATCAAGCTTCAGCAAACACTTCATACAATCATCGATCGGTCAGTGTTGTCTGCAGAGTCTGCTGCTTGACGGCTTGGTGCGAAATCCGGTTTTGAGGAGGCCCACGTCAGAGTGCGTACCCCGCGAACGAAAGTGAAATGAATAAACATGGGACCAAAGTGGGCCTCACATAGCCTAATCGATAAAGGCACGGTATTTCCAAGCTGAAGGTGGTGGGTTCGATTTCCAGTCCGGTCGAGGAAATCTTTCGGGTTGGAAATTTTCTCGACTTTCCTGAGCGCTTGCCACTAAATACACAAAATCATGCATTGGTGTTGGCATAGAAAGCTATCAATTAATAACTGTGGAAGAAAATCTAGAACACTAAGTTGAGAGCCAGCAAAACGCTCGCTACAGACGCGTAAAAATCTTAGAAGAAGAAGAAGCGGGTCCAAAGACTTCTTTTGGGGCGTTTTAGCAATAATAGAGAAAGGTAAACAAAAACGCGACGGGTTGCTTTTGAGTCATGCACGGCGTTGTTTCAGTTCCGACTCAAGTGTGTCATTGGTGAATTTTATTTTCGAAAATATATAAAATCGAATATTTCCCACATCGAAACGGGTCTGAGTAACCGACACGCTTAAACGGTATGCTTGCAGATGATGACAAGGCTGTTAAAGTATGCTTTTCCTTGTACTTTTTACCTCGATTTTACTTCACAGGCAAATTCCAAATCAGTCACGATCGGACTACAAGTCACTTAGGTAATCTGCATCTTCTCTCGTGCGAAGCGGGTGGTCATGCGTTGTTCCGGTAGTGCTACAAAGTGGACAGATAGCCATTAAGAACAGTCATAGAAGAAAATGAGTAGTGCAACAAAAAAGCGAAGGTTATTGCTGCAATCGATCATAATAATAGTGTTATTTAATATTGGGGTGACATCGGCGACGGATATCACCGATCAGGTCTCTCCGTTGGATAGAGATCCGCTGAGATATTTATTTCATTCGATGCGAAGGTGGATGTTCAATATGGTCGGGAGAACTGGACTACGGACCAGGGGGCACTTTCTGCAGGACAAGATTCCGGATGATTTACCATTTCCGTGTGACATTTCGCTGGGAAGAAGCCGCCGGGTGCCAAAGAGTGTACACAAACTGAGACCAGGTGAGTGATTTTAAGGGTAAACATCCTTATGTTTGTATTCTCGTACTTTTTAAGTGCTGTGAGATGGCAACATGACGTAAATCCATTAAGTCCAGTTGGTCAGAAAATAGATGACTTACAACCTTGCATGTTGAAGAATATTTGCGAACATATGATTTGGTCTGTTGAATAAGATCAAAAATAAGCAATGAAAATGATTCTTGATGTAGGGGAAATGCCTCAAATGTTGGCCTATGGATCTAAGATTTGGCCCATCGCTAAAATACTGCTATTTATCCATTTAATCTAGATGAACGCGTCATTGGGATATTTGGATTTTTTTGGTCACTATTGATAATTTAGTCGATTGCTGAACTTACGGGGCATTTACACTGACATTACATCCATTTCCCCTATAAAATATTTTTTAAGTTTCCTGTTTTTTTTTAACTTTCTTACATATGGTGCTGCTCTCCCGAAAATGCATGACTTACAAGTAAATGTTTCTGATCAAACTGAGATATTACCCCGAATACCATAATCCCGAATTCCACTACCCCAAATGACCCGTTAGCTTAAATTCCCCATTACCCTAACCCCAAAGTGGCCCGTTACCCCGAATGTCATTACCTTGATTTTTTTAAGGGCCGTGCACATCGTAGTTGCTACTCCGTTAATGATCAGAACTAGTTTTTTTTTTCGATTTTTTTTGTTGGTTTATTTGTTTCAAATTCAAATAAAATTACAGCTACTCCGTTAATGATAAGAACTAGTTTTTTTTTTCGATTTTTTTTTTGTTGGTTTATTTGTTTCAAATTCAAATAAAATTACAGCTACTACAGTAACTTACCAGCCTTAAGTGTGATGATATATAGCTAAGTGTGTTTACATTGTTTCTGCTTTGGCAATCCACTATTTTAAACAGGTTTTCTATACCTGAAAGTTATTACACTTGAGGATTGAAAAGAATTTTGCTGGAAATTACTAATTATTTTGTTGGAAATTCGTTCTAAAGTCTCAACATTCGAAATTATATATACCTCGGTAGTACTGTACCATGGAGGCAACTTCAAAATCACCTTCAGAACTTTGTTCTGAATCATTTGAATTGCTTTTTTTTCCTGGTAGTGCAGCAACTAGACCATATTGGCACAGCATAAAGCAGGGCAGGTGTAAAAACTTGTATTAGCAGCTTATTCGTCAGACTAAGTTTGGATTTTATTATTTGTTATATATGGCTTGAATGTCATCAAAGTGATCTTTAAAAGTTAACTTTTGGTCAAGTACTAATCCAAGATAATTCACTTGGCTTGACCATGAAATCGGAACTCCGTTAATAGTGACTATATGACTACTAACTAGGTTTCATAAAGGAAGCTCTAGGCTTATGTGGAAATATTGTAAGTTGAGTTTTGGAAGCGTTGGGAGAAATCTTCCATTTTTGTTAATGAGAAGAGAAAATGAAGAGATATGTGGCAACCCTGATTTAAATCAGGGAGGTCATAAGTGAAAATGTTATACAATATAGGTCCAGGAATGCTACCCTGAGGAATTCCAGCTCTTACAGGTAGTCGATCAGATTTGGAATTTTGATAATTTATTACAGAGTTCTGCCAGTTAAATAATTTTGTGCCACTCTCATAATATAGAGTAGAACCCTGGATTTTGGTCAGTTAGTGTATAGAGTGTCGTTGTGCCAAATTGGTCGTGACACATTTCGAGTATGAGAGAGTGATTGTAGTTAGATCAGAAGTGCATGAAAAAAATGCAAAAACTTTCGCGGATTGCTCGAAGTTGCGACAGTGAAGATATGATCACAGATAAGCACACATATCACTCAGTATCTTCTAACTGTCGCATATAACAAAATAAAAATTGACTTTCAGTCGCTAACCTAAATCGAAAATTAATTTGATGATAAATCATCACTATGTCCCGGTGGTCGGAGGTGAGGCCAGCAGCTCATTGCTCTATTCATGCTGCATTGGACATCCCGTATCCAACATGTGTGATGTAGAACAGAGACGAGTTGTATTTGTTCACATCGACCGATACTGAGTGGTTGCGGTACAAGCACATATCGTCGGTAATAGACGATTGTTGTGTATTGAGAACGCTTGCGCAAAAAGACTAAGGGAGGGAAACGGATTCGAAACTCATATGTCATTAGCCAAATACATCCGTAGACCATAGGTCCACCGTTGTATAATTGGCAATGCACCCGTGTACTGAATGGGAATTGTGGGTTCGAATCCCACCGGTGCCCTTAGATTTTTTCGCAAATTTTCTCACACGCACGTCTCTTGCCGATGATATGTGCTAACCTCTCAGTATCTTCTAACTGTCGCATATAACAAAATAAAAATTGACTTTCAGTCGCTAACCTAAATCACATATCACTCTCAAAATTTTCTTTGAAATCTATTTTAAAGGTCAATTTAAATCTTTTAATTTTGTCGAACCTATTAACGGAATCTCTTTATGAAGAGGTTTTTGGAGTGTGTTGATTTATTTCCTTTTAATTCCATTATAATTGGTTATCTTTTGACAGATACGCGTAATGTACTGTAAGTACTCAACACTGATGAAGTCTACAAGTAGTAAACGAAATACGCGTATCTTTCTAAAGATAAGCAATTATAACGGAATTAAAAGGAAATAAATTAACACACTTAAAAAAGCTCTTCATGTGTCAATTTATTTTTTCATAGTTGGTAGTACCGCCACTTGTGGCGGGTATAATGAATTCTCTTGCAATTGACGTTTACACATTACAGTCATCTGTTTAGTGTATTGATCATCGCAGTGTATACGACAGATGGCGGTAGTGTTTTAGTGATGATGTATCACAATGAGAAATGTTAAATGTGTTGAGTCTGTTTTTCTGTGATATAATATTGAGGTAACGTTAGGATAAAATCAAAACATTGGGACATACAACGCATCACTTTAAGAAATACTTTACTTCGCAACCGATGAACCATTCTGAAGGCCATAAGAGTACCAAAGTAACGATATATGTACACAGAAAAAAGGTCAGAATTTTAACTGTTGTGTAAAATCTCCTTTCGTTTAATGTTGAGCTATAGTTGGCGTAAACCACGAAATTGCTAACAAGCTTGTTTACAATATTGCATATTCACGCGATATTGCACTAAAATTTACATTTTTTTTTAATAATTACTTTATTTGTACAGGCTCAATCGAGTACCGAGTACTTGCGGTTGTCTCGAGGTTTGTGGAGATTTACAATTTTTTGGATGGGAAAAGAGAAGAAAGAGGGTTGAAATGTGGTTTCACACATATTTAATTAATCCTATAACATGAAATTATTTCTTTTCATTTTGAAAACAAACATTGAACAAAAAAAAAACCCACACGCACAAAAACCAGTTAAATTTACATGAAAGCGTTGTGCGCTATATAACAGAAATTTACATTTTTTTTACGTTGTAGTAGCAATTTTTGTTCCCTTGATTTGTTTCCGTCGATCTTGTTTTCCGTACTTAGTACCAATGCTACTGACGCCAAGGAGGCAACTCCCAAACCTGGACCCTACCTATCGACCCATCCCAACTCATGAATCGGGGACCAACGGCTTTACTTCCCGGAAGCGAAAGAAGGCGTGATCAGAGATGTTATGCCTCAGAACATCCCGGCGGTGCCGACTGGGATTGAACCCAGGCCTGCTGGGGTGAGAGGTAATCACACTTACCACTACACCACCGGCACCGCTAGTTGTAGTAGCAATATACCTTTGTATATATTTACTTTGCTTAAGTATGGTTAGTTGGGCAATCCGATAAAACTATCACTTCGTGAAACTAATCCCTTTCTTATTCCTTTCATTCTCTTTACGCACTTTGCATATAACTCCATCTCATACTAATCTCTACATTGATTCAATGATGTACGGAGCGCTCATTCCGAGTGCTAGGTGAACCAGCGACTTAAGATGCGAGCATCATTCCAGGTGACCATTGTAATACAGTGACAGATGGTGGACATGAGATCGACCACACCAACCAGCAAGGAAGGAGTCAATATGGAACCAGGAACGGAAATGAGTGCGGATTTACCTCCCTTGGAAAACAAGCAAAACCCGAAAAAGGCAGAATCATGTCAAAACCGACCAAGAACGATCTACGGTAGGAACTTGTGGTAAAGCACGGAATGAAATACGAAGCGTTAGAGAAAATTTACAAGGGATTCCAAAAGAAGCCATCTGCGGTGTAAGACCAGCGGAACATGGTGAGACCGGACCAATTATTCTTTATAAATTAAAAATCAAAATTAAACTGAATATGCGCTAGGTTTGAAAGGAATATTTTCGACCCTGGAAGTGTGTATGTAATATCCATGTCCATTTGATAACGGTTATACATACATGCGGGGTTTATTGTGAGTGAAAGTTACCTCGGAATAAGCGGGACTCGTGGGATACTGGATCTGCAGTAGAGCTATCACCTTCTAAATCCCGGACTAAATCTGTCTGCAATTACCGCAAACGAGAATATGCAGATGGCTTCCTTTCATAATATCACTGCCGACCAGTGAGGGTTAGATTGAATACAGACACACACAATCTCACACTTTTCAATTCATGCCAAAAACTGTTGAATGCTTTTTCTATGTCTAGAAGAACAACTCCAGTTCAGCAGCCATGGCCGTGGTGAAATACAAACTGCTCATCTACAAAAATCATGTCTGTATTCATTATATTTAAAATTATCTTTTAAAAAAGTTAACTTATTGAAGAAAGCAAACTTATTGGAAGGTAGCTAGAAGCTTCAGCTAGATTCTCATCCAGCTTCAAAATTGGAAAAACTTTTACATTTTACATTTATCAGGAAAGTATTCGAAATTAAAACATCTGTTAAATAGTTTTACCATGAAAGACAAGGTACTCCCTGGAAGTTTTTAGATGATTGCATCAGCACCTGGAGCCATTAAATTTTAAAACTTTTTAATAATAGATCTTACTTCGCCCAAATCAGTCCCCCAGGAATCATCAAAAATTT